TGGTGTACACTGGTGAGTAGGGTGGTGGTTACACTAGTGAGTAGGGTGGTGGTTACACTAGTGAGTAGGGCAGTGGTGTACACTGGTGAGTAGGGTGGTGGTTACACTAGTAAGTAGGGCAGTGGTGTACACTGGTGAGTAGGGCGGTGGTTACACTAGTGAGTAGGGTGGTGGTTACACTAGTGAGTATGGAGGTGGTTACACTAGTGAGTAGGGTGGTGGTTACACTAGTGAGTATGGAGGTGGTTACACTAGTGAGTAGAGTGGTGATTACACTAGTGAGTAGAGCGGTGGTGTACACTGGTGAGTAGGACAGTGCTGTACACTGGTGAGTAGGGCAGTGGTATACACTGGTGAGTAGGGCGGTGGTGTACACTGGTGAGTAGGGCAGTGTTGTACACTGGTGAGTAGGGCGGTGGTGTACACTGGTGAGTAGGGCGGTGGTGTACACTGGTGAGTAGGGCAGTGGTGTACACTGGTGAGCATCTCCTGGACGGAGGTCTGAAGGATAAAGGAGGGGCAGCTTTTCAGAGGGACGCTTGGGGAAGTGTCTCTTCGGAAGGTGTCATAAGGACGTGCTAGAAGCCGACAGCCATGCAGTGACCCAGGGAAGACACCAGTGTGGAGGCTTGGCCTTTCCATCCATGTTTCTGTTATTTTTCTTCTATGTCTGTAATATGTCACTTTTATAGAACTAGATTTGAAAAATGACAAATCTTCTTAAAAAACTTGCTGCATAGTATCTCTCAAAACAAAACTTACATATGTATAGTGTGTATGTGTGCATGTGTGTGTATATGTGTGCATGTGTGTGCATGTGTGTGCATGTGTGTACGTGTGTGTGCGTGTGTGTGCGCGCGTGTGTGTGTGTGCATGCGTGTGTGCATGTGTGCATGTGTGTGCGTGTGTGTGCGTGCATGTGTGTGTGCATGCGTGTGTGTGCATGTGTGTGTGCATGTGTGTGTGCGTGTGCATGCGTGTGTGTGTGTGTGTGCATGCGTGTGTGTGTGCATGCGTGTGTGTGTGTGTGTGTGTACATGTGTGTGTGCATGCATGTGTGTGTGTGTGCATGCGTGTGTGTGCGCGTGTGTACCCATGCAGGTGATATAGAGTCCAGAGGGAGGTATCAGATGGACCCTCTTTTAGCTTTTCTCACCTTATTCCCTTGAGACAGGAGTTCCCCTCACTGCTCTGGGCCTTGGCGAGCCAACGCCTGGGATCTGCCTCTCTCTGTCCCCCAAAGCTGAGGTTTCCAGACGGTGCAGCTACGCTTGGATTTTTGTATGAATGCCAGGGATTAGAACTCAGGTCCTCATGCAAGCACTCTTACCACTGATCCCTGTCCTTAGAATGAATCACAATGCTCTCAGGCACTGTAACTCCGGACACTGATGCTGCAGAACCTGCCTTTCAGAGGCTGTCCATGGAGTCATCTATTCGGCAAACCCTGGCTGGATCATGCGGTGCTGTGCCTTGTATCCTGAGGGAACTGAGAGAGGAGCAAATCTCAAGCAGGAACTTGAAATCAAGTGACAGCAAAAATTAAGAGTGACTCGTGCTTCCTTGCACATCTTCTCATTATTGCTTTCCACTACAGAAAGGGTGAAAGCTTGATATAACAAATTAAAAAAGCGAAGACCATATAAAGTCAGTACTGGTCTTCACTGTCCCTCCCCAGCCTCAGAGGTGGTTGCTGTCATGCTCAATGATTTTTCTTCCATACACTCCATGCTCTGTAGCAGCAGGTCTTAGAGATCTCTTCACGTCAGTACACAGAGAGCACTCCATCCTGAAATCTGCACCATTCGTTGCCGATCCTTTACAGGTGAACACTTAAGTAGTTTCCTGCTTGTTTGTTTTTCCATGGTGAACATGTGGTAACAGCTAAGCCTTATTGACTGTCCTTGGTCACCCCTCAGTTTTGTTAGTGCTCTGTATGCATTATTGAGCACTCTCCAAACATGGATGAAGCAGGTGACAGTTGAAATCCCTGCTTCACAGGTAGGGAATCCAAGATGCAGTCCCAGGGCTCCTGGATGGGAAGGGCTGATGTTAGGATTCAGATTCTAGGAGTGTGTCCTTGGCCTCTGTCCTCTGCTGCTGTCCACAGGTGCTGTGTGGTTCCCTTTGTGCACATGCCAGCGTTTCTGTGGGACGGGATGCTAGCCAAGCCTGGGTGCGTTGTGGGGCCATGTAGATTTGCATTGAAAATGTAATAATTGCTACTAAATTGCACTCCCAAAAGAGGATAACAGCCTTCAGTGCCACCTCCAGGGAGAATTCCCATTCCCTACCTCAGGTTTTAATCTCTGCCAACCTGTTAGGAGGAAAATGGTATCTGATTTTGTTTTTATAAAGGGCTATATTAGAGTATAATTGGCATACAATGAAGGAGACATATTTAAAGAGTGTGGTTTATCTGTTTTCACATACATATGCACCTGTACTGCTTTATGGATTTGGATATACCACACTCTGTCTGTCTACCTGGTGATGGGCATTGAAGTTGCTTCCAGCTTGAGCTATTACAGATCACCGTCATTAGCCCAGAAAGCCGTAGCTCATTGGTCTCCACACTCCCACGCCCTCCAGGAAGGGATGCTACTGTGTTCTGTGTTTGACAGGAGGAGAGATCAAAGAGCTTTCTCAAGATCACACATCCAGTGCAGGAACTCGGGATGTCTGTTCCCTAGCCATGCTGCCAGCTGCCCTTCCTTCCGTTCAGGAACAGTGAAGGAAAGGCCATTTCTGTGCCTCTTATTCCGGGGTTCAAATTACATCTCCGCTATTTGATGGCTGGGCGATAAATAGCAACTTATTTAACCTCTGTGCTTTGAGCTCGTTGTCTCTATGAACCTAGTAAAAGAAGCCTCCGTGTAGACTTATTTAGAGGAGGAAATGAATGTAGAGCTGCAGTGCCTTCCAGTAACAGGAATTTAGGAAGGTCTGATGGATTGTTTGGAATTACTTTTCGATGGGGCTGTAACACTTTACACCCCAGGATCGGTCACTACTGCAGAGAGATTTCTAGAAACATGAGAGACAGCATTCCGGTCCCTGTGGAGAGCACAGAGGTGAAATACAGGATGCAAGGACGGGGCACCCCACTGGGAGAGTGGCGAAGTCAATCTTGTTGTCAGGGACTAGGGGTGTTCATGGCTAGAGAAGGGCACTTGTGATTCAGGCCAGCACTTTGTGACTCCAGGCAGTGTGAGCCTGCCAAGGCCTGCTCTTACTATAACCAAATAGCACCGCTGGCAAAGGTGAGCGTCCCCTCTTTCCAACACGGGCTTTACTAGGATGACAGAGTCATAATTATCCGTGCCAGGAGCTATTATTAGGAGGCAGATGCGGCTTTAATGACAGTACTTAATAAAGCCTGCAGAAATGGAGCACTCGGTGGCTCCTGATCTCACCCTGGCTATGGCAGTGTTGCTTGGTACCACCGTTCTCTGGTCCCTACATTTGGACATCCTAAGGTAGTGGTGGCAGACACTGTGGTGGTCTCACAGCTCCTGGGTTGCACTGTCGTTTGAGGAGCCTCTGCCTCCACGCACCCTTCCCTAATGCTGTCTTTTGATTACTGCAATTGACCCAACCCACTGGGCAGGGCCTGGGAAGAAAGTTACAGCCAAGCCCTGGAAGTGGTTCTCCGGGCAGCCTTGGGAAAGGCTGGAGAGTGGGTGAAGCCCAGTGCTCGGATGCTCGGTTTCTGTGTTCCTAAACTACTGTTTTCCTGAGCACCACACAAAGTGACAGGTGTGACAGGTGTGTGTCATCATTCTTCCTAGTTCACAGACAGCTCATTTCAGGGAAGTCCAGCAATGCCTCTGAGGTCACAGCTTAAATAAGAGTGCTTGCCTGTCTGACCCTAAACGCCGTTTTCCTGCACTGTTGCTATTGCTTCCAAGCTGTTTGGTTTTGGTTTTGGTGGTGTGGCAGGAGACTTTGCTCAAGGGAAATCTCACACATAACCCCACAGATGCTGGTTGTAACCCTCTGGTTGAAAGGAGCCATGGCTGCACAATTTGGCTCCTGCCTCAGTTTCCATGGACTCACCTGAGGTGGTTCTACTTCTCGTGGGGTCCCCAGGACAGGGATGAGGAGTCCATGGTCTGGTTTACACAGCTCAGCTGCACCCTGCTGCCCGTAGGATGTGGGACAGGACAGAAGGCAAGGCACGACTCTGACTTAAGTTCTTTCCCGGCAGCTTTTCTCTTGGGTCATGTGTCTCTGGTGCTCCTGGGGAGCAGCGGCAGCGGCCAGCACGTAACTGTTTTGTGACAACAGAAGAAACTGGGCCTTGCTTGATGCCCATTTGCCAGCAGCAGCAGCCTGAGCTTGCTCTCCAACCCCTAACCCCCCAGCCCCCCTCCCCCACCTAGCGGGGCCACGTGTCCACCCTCTGCATAGAGGGTAGGAGTAGAGGGTGAAGGAGAAGGACATTCAGCCCCTTGGGACAGCTAGGCTGAGTGACACCCTCTCACTTCTGGGGGTTGTGGCTGAATGCTGAGGGCTCTGCAGACAGCAGGTGGACAGGGGCACAGCAGAGGGACAGCAGAGGGACAGCAGAGGGACAGCAGAGGGACAGTTCCAAGCTGCAGTGTGGAGCTCTGGGCTGGCAGGCTGCAAGCAGTCCTCTTGGGCTTCCTCGCTTCTCCTGTCCTCCCTCAGACCACTGCTTCCCACTAATACATTTATTGTTGTTGTTGTTGTTGTTGTTGTTGTTGTTGTTATTGAGATGTAAAAGAAAGTTCTATTCACAAGTTCAGGATCTCCTGTGTACTGAGCACAAAGTGGATGAAGAGGAAGGCGGGCTGTGGTTAGGAGGTTCAGGGCGCTGAGGAATGGGTGCCTCGTCCCCCTCCCTATGGAAGTTGCCACATTGCTTTTTTCCTTTCAACCCAGCTCCCCAGATTGTCCCAGCAGAGGAAATGGGAGCAGCCCCCTCCCTCAGCTGCTGTGTCTGCTCACACAGGGAAGACTTCCTTCCAGCATGTAGGACCTGAATACCCCAGGCTTAGTTCTAGTGCTCAGGAGGCCAATGAAAGTGCATCTCTGTGAGTTTGAGGTCAGCCTGGTCTACGACAAATCACATGGAAAAACATGTTTGCATTAGAGTGAGTGGGTAAATTTTCCTCTTCTATTTAGTTTTATTTTTCTTTAATAAAAATGATCCTAAAACAAACCTCAAAATACAGAGAATTTTCCTATACTCTTGGTCCCAAATACAGAGAGGGGAACCAAGGAGACATGAAGTCCTTAGACAAGTAGAGAGGCCTCCTTCTCCTCAGAGGCCGGTTCATGGACTCAGACAGGAAAGGCAGGACACCGAGCAATCATTGCTGGGTGCCCTGTACTCTGCTTGCAGCATGCCCCGACGTCCACAGCCACCTGTGAATGGAGTGGGCACTTGCTCTCCGAGGCTCTGTTGCAAATGTGGACAATGAGGAGAAGCTTGGAGGATTGGTAATGGCCAAAGACAACAGCAAGTGAGGCGGGGCCGTGGCGTCCCCCTCCACATTCCTAACGCTGCCTGTCCATTCCCCACCCTTCCCCAGGAGTGGAGTTCGTGGTTCCCAGGACTGGCTTTTACTGCAAGCTGTGTGGTCTGTTCTACACAAGCGAGGAGGTGGCCAAAGTCAGCCACTGTCGCAGTCCTGTCCACTACAGGAACTTACAGGTAACCGTCCGTCCCTGCTGTACACCTTGGTGAGAATTCCGTCTCCCGCACAAGCCAGCACCAGAAGTCTTGGGCCTCACTTACTTCCGACTTGAACTCTCATCTTCAAGGCCACAGGGACTTGCTATCCCCAAGCATACCTTTTAGACATGCTCCTGTAAATTGATGCTTCCCCCCACCACGTGGAGAACAGCCGACTCTACCAGGCTGTCCCACAGACTGGCTTCATCCTAAGGGTGCTCAGAACATCAACTCTGCTTTAGTACTTACAGCACCCTAGTGGCCTTTTAAACACTGGCCACCCCAGCTCGATGGAGAACCCAGCTCTGCTGGTACTCTCCTGACACACGGCACAGCTAGCTCTCTCAGCCAGGCCTGGGTGCTTCAGCTCTGGGCATTTCCATTTCTCTTCCTCCGTGCACATAACCTGTTTTACTGGAATGAAAACCACAGTTTTGCCCCATTTAAATGTTCAGATAGCACAACAAAGGATCGTCACAGGCTGCAGCGCATACATGCAGAACTGTTCTAGGCACTGTGGATACAACAGCAACAAATCCAGACAAATCCCTTGTAGGTTCCAGTTGAGTGTGGGAGACCAGGGGTAAGGGAAATAACTAAGCAATGCACTATGTTAAAATGTTGCTTACAAAATGTCCTGAAACCCCGTCTCGAAAAACAAAAACAAACAAACAAAAAATGTCCTGAACTCTACATTTCATCCAATCTAAGACGCCTTTATTAGTAAATACCATTTTTTTCATGTTTATTCTTTGGGGATTGGGCCTTTAAATATACTATCACATACTCTGTGCCCGAGCCACATCCTCAGCCTGATAGACAGTTTAGCACCAACTAGGAAAAGCAGTGTAGTAAATGGAGCAAAAGACTGTTGATTGCAAGACGCAATTTTATTTCAGAGATGTTAACGGGTTTTCGAAAACATATTAAAGTCAATGAGCACACTAGTATTTGGCGTTCTGCCAAGGCCCCCAACAGAAGCCCCCATCTAAGATGGCTGGGGCAGAGGCTCCTGGGTCCCTGACAGGTACACCAGGGAAACTTGAACTGATGTTGGACTGTGTGAGGAGCTGAGGCCATGTCTACACCTAACACGAATGTAGCTTTCATGATGAAGTCCTGGCACAGGCTGGGTTTTACATGCATTTCCTTTGCAGGGGTGTGGTTGAGGGGCTGAGCGCTTCAAGGCAGCTGCAGTTTTACTGTCAGAACCAAAGCTGAGAGGCAGGGAGAGGATCAGGCAGTAAAACGCTTGCCGTGTCCCTGCGTTTGGCTCCTTGGTGCTCACATAGAAGCTGGGCAAGGTGATGCACGCCTATAATCCTAGCACTGGGGACCAGAGACAGGAAGATCTCTGGAGCTCACTGGCCAGGTAGTCCAGCCAGACTGGTGGGCTCCAGGTCAGTAGAGAGTGATGGAGGAAGAGACTTAATATCAACATCTGGCTTCCGTACACACACGCACACGCACACGCACACGCACACGCGCACACACACACACACACACACACATCTATACCTATACACACATATATACCTACACACACATGTACACACATACACACATATACACACATACATACATGCACATAATACACTCACACACATATATATACACATACACATGCACACATATACATACATACACTCACATATATACACACATATATAGGCACACATATACATTCATATATTCACACATATATAAATACACACATATACACACACTATATATGCACACACATACACACACACACGAATGTATAGACACATGAACACCACACACAAGATGAATAACCAGAGTTTGAGCCACATGGCTCAACCTAAGATGTGCCTGGGGTGTCGTTGCCCTGGTTTTAGGCCAGGTGTTCCTCTCACAGGTAATTTTTTAGAGTGACTGATCTGATGGTTTGGTTTTTTTTAAATAGTGTGTGTTATTTTTACATTTACATTTATTTATTTATTTATTTAGTCCTGAACACACATACCATACATAGCATACATGTGGAGGTCAGAGGACAACTTGCAGGAACTGATTCCCTCCTTCCGCCATTTGAGTTCGGGAACAAACTCAGGTCCACGGGCCTGGACTCACCCTCTCCCACTGAGACATTTTGCTGGACCGATCTGGCGGTCCATAAGCAGGGATGTGAACTAGAATTGCCCAAGGTTTGGAGTACGTGCTCTAGGTCACGTACTGGGGGGCGGCAGTAGCATGTGATTTAAGAATTTTTTGAAGTGATTAATGTGAACATCTAGTTAGGAATCTTGGGTTTGCCTTGTCACTGAGGAACCTGAAATTCAGAGAGAAAGCTGTAAGATTCGCTCCAGCCTGTGCTGAGAGGGGCTCCTGGCGCTGACCCGGGTCACTTGATTCTCTGTCACTCCTTTCTTTTTAGTCCACTAAGTTAATCTTCAAAACACGCCTGTGACGTCCCGACCTGGCTTCCCACATGTAAGAGACGGTCTCTGGCTGGGCCCAAACAGGTCATTTAAGCCTCTTGATTTCCCTCTAGGGAGCAGCTGTTCTGAGCACTGCAGACATGTGTCCTGTCCCTCCTGGGGAGGACAGGGGGTGGTGGCCTGCTTTGACTAGAGCAGGGACTTGAGCACAGCAGAGCTACTCAGGGACAGTCACCCAACCCATGGACTCCCTCTTTCTCTTTAGACCATTTGCAAGCTGGAAGGGTCCTGGGGTAACCTGGTGCTGATTTCCTATCGAGTTAGCTGGCATCTTTTTAAAATGCATCATCTTTGAGTCCTACACTCCCCCTGCTTTCCTGTTCGTTCTAGTGTGGACTCAGGAATCTTCTTTTCTAAAATGTTATGGTGCTAAAGATCAAACCTAAGGCTTCGAACATACTAGACAAATACCACTGAGCCACATAGCAAGGCCAAGAATCTTTCTTTCTGTGAATGTTGAATTCCTCAGTGTAAGAATCTTTGGTCTTTTCTTGGTGGAATTCTATAGCTCCCAAGGAGACCCAAAGTTCAAACTCAGTCTCCCCAAGAGAGTTAAGAAGAATTCAGATGCTGCCTTTGTTCCAGGGCAGTGGTCTGCATGGTTTCCAGGGCCTCTAGGGCCAGACTCCAGACTGCCCCCCATTCCCACAGCAGGCCAGCACCACCCCTGTGGTCCCTGGATACACTAGGTGTAGACATGGCCTCAGCTCCTCACACTGTCTAATCTGAGTTCAAGATTCCCCGGTGTACCTGCCAGGGAGCCAGGAGCCTCTGCCCCAGCCATCTCAGGTGGGACTTCTGTCAGGGCCTTGGCAGAACGTCTCTGTCTCTGTTCCTCTCCCACTTCATCCCAAACTGCATGTTTGTGAAAAGCGAAGACTTGCGACCCACATAGCAGGTGCTGGCTGACTCGAGTCAGGCAACTCATCAGGATGCCTTGAGTGGAGGCTCAGGGATGCCCGGGGAGGCAGGAGCAGGTGGAAGGTGCCTCAGTACAGCTTCCAGAAATTCTGCTATGCCATTGCTGGTCAGGGCTCTATGTGAACCCCCGGAGAGTGATCTGGCACAGCCAGCATAGGCCTTACTGGGCAGGAAAGTGGTTGCAAGCCGCAAAGAACACACACATACGCAGGGTACACATCCACTCAGTATTCTTGAATCTGGCAGAGGAAAAGATGGGGCTCTCCAGCAGCAGCCTCGCCCACAGGCATCTGCTAGGGGTCTGGCTCCAAGTCAGACTGCGCCCACCTCCAAAAGCTGGAGCTCCACAGCAGGTGGAGGGTGAGGGAGATGCCATTGCTCTCACTTAACAGATGAGTTGTCTGCGGGGGTGGGGGAAGATTAGGGACTCGCCCAGTCTACAGAAGGTTCGGCTCATGAGAAAGTCTGACATTCTTGAGTATTTACCATGTGCCAGGCATTATGCTGAGTGCTTTGTGAGGCATTTGTCGGTTTTCCACTTATAGCAAACACTGCCCCACTCCCTGACTGCTCTCCAGGTTGCCATGGTTACCCTCACTTCACAGATGTTAGGGACATTCAGTCGCTTGCCTGCAGAGAGTGTGGATTTGAACCCAGGACATCTATTAGCTGAGACTGCACACTCGACCACTGAACTGGACCTGACCTTTGTAATTACCAGCCAAGTGCCATCTACACTGTTCTTGCTGCTCTGAGGCAGTCAGGCCTTCCCTCATCTGCCCTTACAGAGCTGAGCCCAGATATCCGGAACACAGACCAGCCCCAGCTGGCTTAGTGGCCATGGCCAGTCACAGCTCTGAGTGCTTCTAGCTTTGTGGAGGCAAGCACTCACTGGAGAGAGGACATGCTATTTTCAGTCTACTGAGAGGGCCCGAGGCCCTCTCCCACAGCCTGTCCCTCAGGACTGCTGAGAATCTCTGATGCCACCGCGGGCCAGTCCTGGACTTCTGCCACCCTCCGCAATCTCTCCTTCTGCCACTCTCTCTGGAAAACAGGTAGCATTTTCACCAGGGTTGAGTTAGTGTAAGCCAGGCGGTTAGCGAGTGCTTGGCAACAAGGAGGAGTGGTTGCCATGGTTAGTATCTGTCCTTTCTGCCTTTCTCACAAGCTACTTACATTGTTTGTAAATATAATGGGGTCCTATTGCCCTAAGATACACTGGAGATGGGAGGCGTGGCCTCCATTTGCCACAGTGTTAGAAAAGTAGTGTCACACACACACACACACATACACACACACACACACACACACACACACACAATGCCACCACTGACATCTCTCTGCCTGTATTGTCTCTCTCTCCTCCACAGAAGTACTTGTCCCAGCTGGCAGAGGAAGGCCTGAAGGAGACGGAAGGGGCAGGCAGTCCAAGCCCCGAGGACAGCGGGATTGTGCCACACTTCGAGAGGAAAAGGCTTTGATACGGCTGCTGCCATGGCCACTGTCTCTGGAAGCTGGATAGGAAGCCTGCTGAACTAGGGCCAGTCTGGCCTCGGGGACAGAACTGAGAGCAGAGAAGAAGGATAGCCCGGCAGGACACGGTGCTTGGGCTTGTTCCCAGAGACGAGCAAACTCACCCTTCTAAGTCCCGCCCTCCAAGGGTGACCAGCTTCCTGTTTCTTCTGTTTTTCTCTCTTCCTCTCACCTAGCCCTTCTGTGCCAAAGTTCATTTCCTTTCCATAAAATCCAACTTCTCAGGGACTGTCACTGTGTTCATATTTTTGGTTGGTTATGGTAGGTCAGTCAAGTGAGGGTGGGTCATGTAAGGAAAAAGCTTAACAGAATCCCTGGATTTAGAGTCCCTTCAGTGAGCCTGAGGTGGTCCTGCAGTCTGGCTTCTGTGTGTCCCAAGAGTAGGGGAGCTGAGCCAGGTTCTTCAGTCTTGAGAGGGATCACGGATGAATCAGTTGGCAGAGGTAGATGTGGTTTCCTCCAGCTGGGCCCCACCATTATGAAAAGGCTCCTTTTTTCTTTCAGTTTTTGGCTAGTGCTGGGAATTAAACCCAGGACCTTGCACATTCTAAGCAGGTGCTCTACCACTGAGCTGTATGCCTAGCCCAGAAGCCCTGGGTCTTTGTTTTTCGGCTGATTCTCATGAGGTCCAGGGACTGCCTTGAAGGGTTACCTTGAACTCCTGATCCTCTAGCCTCTACCTCTTGAGTGCTGTGACTATAGGCATTGTGGTACTGGGAATCAAACCCAGGGCATCCAGCAAAAAGGCAAAGACTCTACCAACTGAGCTATGTGCTCAGCCTTGACACCCCCATTTTCAGAAAGTCATACATCCTCAGTTATTCTAGAAAATCACCAGGCTAAAGCCTTAAAGTAAAATCATATTAATTTTATGGAGCAAAGAAGAACCCAACATTGTAGAAGCTCTGGTAGATCAAATCCAAACTTCTTCTTGATTTAAGGATGGGCCTGGATTATTCTATTCAAGACGGTGATGTTGGGTAGATTACAGTTTACCTCAATTTGAGGTCAGCCACAGCTTCTTCCTATAGTTAAAGGAGGAAATTGGTGTGGGCCCCGGGTGCATGCCGACCCTGGTGAATCAGCCTAAGTCAGGATCAAGGCACTGGCATCTGAACTTGATTCACCCTTGGTGCCTCTACTCTTGGGTACTCTGTATTAGAATGATTTGAAAATGATCCCCCATTGAAGGAGAAATTAAAACACTTGTTTTTCTGGGGACTTTTAAGTGGGGATGGACAGACCACTTAGGCCGATTTGGATGTTAAAATGCTAGGAAAAACGGATCCCTGACTCCCAATGGGGTCAGCACCCCCATCCCATGTGGGCTGAAGGGTCTTAATGGAAGGTCTTGGACAAGTGCTAGAGGACATGAGCTCCACTTGAGCCATTGAGTGGACCCAGGGTCAGAGAGAGCCTGGTACTGTCTCCATGAGTGGACATGCCTCCTTTAAGGTTTTCTCCATGTGGATGGTTTACCTGTGTAAGTTGCCTGTTTATGTTTCCAGGTAAAGGCAAGTAGACTGGACAGGGGTCATGTCTTTTCTTCCCCCTTACATTGCCATTCTGTACTCTGTACACATGGAAGAAGAATGGAGAAATGATGTTGTTCAACACCAACATTTTATCAGTGAAGAAACTGAGGCACAGAAAAGAAATGACCATGTGTAAACCTTGAGGCCTGTGGTTCCTGGCCAGGAAAGAACTTTTGGAACCTATGAAAGAGGAGTTAAGGCCACGAGAGGAGGGAGACAGGCCAGTCTGGAAAGGGGTGATGGGAAGTTGAAGCTTCAGGAAGGTGGTATCCACAGTGTAAAGATTAAATAGTGTGTCTCAGTCCCCACCATTCCCCTGGTGGACTCCCCAGATGATAACCCAGCATTGTGGTCATGACACTGTGGTCATCAGCAAAGTCTCTCCCATTTCTCAGAAAAACTTTGACTTCTGGGAACAGCTGTTGGCCACACCCCTAAACCCATTAGCAGCTCCATCCGAGACGAGACCTGCACATTAGCAGAGGCTGGACCCTTTGTCTTTTAGCAGAGTGAGGCAGACCTCACCAACACCGCTGGCTCCTGTGTTAGTGGCATTTCTGTGGAAATCCATGTCCCAGTTCTCAAGCAGAGAGAGGGCCCCCTTGATGGTAAACTGACCTGATGAGCACTCTGGAAAAGGCCCTCCAAAGGGAAAAAGAAAAGGTAGTCTCTACTTTTAGTCACAACCTTCAGTTTAAAGTCATGGATGATTCTATACTTGTGTGTATATATGCATATATATTTATTTTTATATAATTCTATTGGCATGGTCCTTGCACTTTTTGTTCCTATGTGTGTTACACGCAATGCAGTAGTAAAAACAACCAGGAAGATATTGATTTCTTTTTTAAAACTTCTATTCAGTGTTTCACCAATCATTTCAAAATGTCTCTCCCCAAGGTTGCTCATGAACAGTTGCTACCTTGCACAAAAGATTCATTTGCACCCTGAGTGAATGTATGGAAAGCCTGTGTTCTCGTATGCTCACTGTGAGCACCTGGAGGTATCCAGGTTGCATTCGCAGGGGCTTGGGTGAACTTGTTGATATGAATAGGAGCCATCAGTGCTCAGGTTTCCCATTCTTGGACAGTCCGAGGCAGTGATCTGTTAAGAGTATACTTGAACTGGACCAGAGATTGTTTTGTGAACTTTTGAGAGAAACAGGACTGCTAGTTACTTTAAGTTTGAACTCATTTTTTTTTTCTGATCTATGTAATTGACCCAAAGTGTTTGTTTTTACAAAAGGAAAAAATGGTTTTTAATAAAGAAAATTTGAAAGCTTCTGAGTGGCTCTGTTATGCAGCGGTCCTTCAATATCTGGTCAGGGGCTCATAGCACTCTATGCTAGCATTTGGTCTCCTTTTGACTTTCAAGTGTGTGTGTGTGTGTGTGTGTGTGTGTGTGTGTGTGTGTGTGTACCTGTGAGTGTGGTGCACATCTATGCAAGTACATGTGGAGGACACGGGTTGATGTTAGGCATCTTTCTTGACCTCTCTCCACCTTATTTACCTCTCCTTCTGTATGTCCTGTTTCCTCTGCTTCCGGTTGGTGACTCCCCCTTTTTTCTTCTCTGGGTTCTCTCTGTCCAGAAGTCCTGCCTATACCTCCTTTCTAGTTTTGACCATTTAGCTTTTTATTAAACCAATCATAGTGACATATCTTTACACAGTGCAATCACATATCTCACAACAGGTTGTAGACACTTTATTACCAACTTTATTTCCAAAGCTCTCAAATATTATAAAGGTTTGAGCAAAGACTACAAAACAGCTCCTACTTTGGGCTCTGGTTAGAAAACCAGAGAGGAGGAGGTTTTCAGTGGTATAGGGGGTCTCTGATGACCCTTCTGGAGTCAAGAGGCTTCTCATGAACCTGTAACATTGCCAACCAGTGCTCCCCAACCTTTAGTGGCTGAACCCATCTGTCTTGAACCAGGGTCAGGCCATCTTGATGGTAGACAACAAAGATCTGGTGATCAGTGCTGTCATGGACACTGTCCCAAGCAGAGGTCTATCTTTGTGTAGTTAGCTCTGTGTGCTCCTTGGGTCTCTTTCCATGGGCATAAAAGGAAGTGGTGATATTAATCACTTTCCGGGTTAAGGAGGTTTGCTGGGAAGAACATCTGGTATGCTTCAAGGTAATAAATCTCCTTTGTTTTTGCAACATGTAATCTGTGCCACAACCTTCCACTTTCACCAGTTGGTTCAAGTGAAGCTATACCAATCTTCTGGGCCTGCTTGGCTAGAGCTTCCAATGGCCTAGAACCTTTTCTGTGCCCCACTTCCTGGTTAGCAGTGTTCTTGAGTCAATGAGGATGGGATGGGCAGCCTGGACCCAGAGGGCAGAGCAGGGCACCTGTAATTATTGTAGCAGATTACAGATCTACGGAAAATTCCTGTTGAGCCTGTTGTGGCCCCGCCCCCACCTCAGTCTCATGATGGCCAGCCTGGGGCTGAGCTCCGGCCTCTAGTCCCCAGCAGGGCTGGAGAACATTCTTCCTTGCAGCTGCTGTCTGTGCCCTCATTGATCAAAGGCAGGAATGGGCCAGAACTTGTTCTTCTTACTCCTGCTTTCAGTCAGGCCCAGGATGCCTGGGGTGCCAGTCCCAGGTGTCCAGTCCCAGCTTGTTGCTGGATGTGCACAGCTCTGGAGAGTACAGTCCATTTACACTCTCTTCCGGGGTCGCCCATGTCGGGTGAGACCTCCCTGTGCCGCAGCTGCTTCCCCAAGCCTGGGTGTCCTGCTCACCTGCTCTCTGGTGTCCCCATAGCTTGGCTCTGGGCCAGTCCCCTTACATTCAGATCCCACCTTGTGCCCACACCTGCCCTGACTGACTTTTGTGATGTGAAGGCTGGAGTTGCTCCTCACAGTGCATTAGTCACTCCTAGATGCTGATGTTGGCCTCTGCCTGGCCTAAGGTCTCTGTGCCCTTTGAGCATCAGCAGCAAGTGCTGCTCTCTCCATAGGTGGTGGTGTGATATCTAGTTTCATCCCTGAGAGCTCTCATTCTCTTTTTCCACCATGATGGTCTTAGGTAGAACCCCAAGCATTTAAGAGTAGGATGGCCCCACAGACCCTCAACGTCTTCCTTCCTTCTTAGTTTATTTATTGACTGACTGGCTTTTGTAATGTTTTGAGAGGGGTTCAGACTGACTTTGAATTCCTGTTTCAGTCTCCTCCACCCACATGTTCCTGTACCCAGTATGGTCTTTATTTTTTCAAGAGAGACAGAAAGAGCAGGGTAGGTGCAGAAAGGGGAAGTGACTGACCTGTAGCGACTCGGCTTATTAGATTTCAGTCTGGGCAGTACTGCTGGGCCACACAAAGTGCTACTAAACTATGCAGGGAATTTTTCAGGTGACTCTTGCTGGATGCTGTCAGTCCACAAGGTATGGAAGGCAGATCCTTGATCTAAATCACCTGGACAGCTTGCCATAATGACAGATTCAGTCCTCTCGTGGAGAGTCTGATCAGCGTCAAGCCTGGCCATTTGCATTTTAGCAAGTCTGTAGGGAATTCAGTCCAGGTGGTGTCAGCTGCCTTCTATGACAACTAGGGACTTCCCCATCAGTTCCTAGAATAGAAGGGGCATTTATTTTACTAGGCACACATGCAGGGGAGAGATGAATGGAGACCATTCAGGGGAGTGGGGGACTGTGGTCTAGAAAGCGTGACTGTGAGACACAGGAAGGGGAGCATGGCTGTGGCACATGGAGCTGGTGGGGGCTGCAATGAGGTCAGGAGAGTGGGGCGTGAGGCAGGGTTTGTTTAGTGGGATTCATAGGTACTGGGCTTAGACACACAGTCTTTCTTTATACAAACTTAAAATTTTAAACATGTATATTATGTATTTTGATTATATCTACTGTCTTAGAGTTTCTATTGCTGTGAAGAGACACCATGACCACGGCAACTCTTACAAAGAAAACATTTAATTGCGGTGGCTCACTTACAGTTCAGAGGTTCAGTCCATTATTTATCATCATGGCAGGACATGATGGCATACAGGCAGACATGATGCTAGAGAGGTAGCTGCTGCATGTTGATATGCAGGTAACTGGAAGTAGACTGTCTCACTGGGCATGGTTTGAGCATATATGAAACTTCAAAGCCCGCCTCCACAGTGACACACTTCCTCCAACAAGACCACACCTACTCCAACAAGGCCACACCTCCTAACAGTGCCCTTCCCTCTGGGGGCCATTTTCTTTCAAACCACATCTACCCTCCCATTATCCCCTCCCATTCCCTCTGAACCCTTTCTTCTTTGGGGTCTCTTTCTGTGAGTGGTTGCAAATGCCCACTCTTTAGCAGAGCCTCTGGCAATGCTCCTTCTGGGGAGACTGAAGCGAGGGGAGTTTGAGCATCGCCAGGGCATGTCAGTGTCATCAGGAAGCCTGGGGTTCCTTTCTTTCCTGCATGAAGCAGTAAAGCCAGCATCAGCCCTGCTCATTCTCGAGGCTCTCTGCAGGCCACCTGTGTGCACTCTGCAGGGACAGTGTCCCTTGGCTCCTTCACAGTCCTGAAACATAGATACTGATGTTTTCCCCAGTAGGCGAAAATGAGGCTCTGAGAGACAAAGTGGTCTGCAAAGGACCAGACAAGCTATGAGCAGGCGAGCTGAACTCTAAGCATGTATTTATTTCATATCCGTTCCCCCTTCCTTCCCCGTTCCTTTCTTTTCTTTCAAGACAAGTTTTTACTCTACCTTCCCTCCCTCCCTCCCTTTTCTTTCAAGACAAGCTTTTACTCTGCATTCCAGGCTGGGTTTGAACTTATGGTGATCCCCTACCTCAGTCTCCTGAGTGCTGGCATTACAGGTGTGCATCACCACACTGCTTCAAACCATGACCTTGGCCTCTGTCTCCTCTGCCCATCTCAAGCCCGAGCTTTGGTTCCCGAAGGCCGTGGCTCTGGGTGCACCACCAATGTGCTGAGTGCTCTGATCACTTAGCTCTTTTCTGGTTGCTCACGGCAAGTTCTTTCATTACTAAACTCTAGAAAGTGATGGCACCATGCCTCCCCTTCCTAGAAAGGTCAAGAAAGGACCCCACCTTTCTTGAAACAAGAAGGAAGGGAAGGAGGAGGGAGGGGAAAAAAACCATTTTCTTCCTATTCCCTACTCTGAAGATCTTGCCTGGGGACCTGGGTCTTGTGGGAACAGAAGGGACTGGATGAAAGAAGTGCCTGGGGCTGTGCGGCTTCCTCCTGCTTCAGGCAGGTTAGGGGAGGAAAGCCCAGCTCTTCTTTCTCGGAGCTCTGGGGACTTCAGACCCAAAGCTTGTTTCCCTTGGCCCCAGAGCGCCAGCCAGTTCTTTAAAGTGTTTACCTTTTTTTTAGTGAAACCCTTTGTTTACCTGCCACCCTTTCCAACTGAGAGGATGCGCCAAAAGCCCAGGAGTGAGCAGACTTAGCCAAGAGAGATTTTAACATGATAACTGAAGAAGCTCAGCGACAACAAGGATGTGATCTGTAGAGGTGACTATGTAGTGGAATGACATGTGACTGGAGCAGAAAGGGGAAGTGTGGTCTAGTAACCCCCTTGTTAGAGTCTCTGTAGATCCCTCTGAGCATTTTCTAGAAGGACTTTATGCTGTGGTGTTGGAGAAGAGAGGCACTGACAGCCCACTGTTGGAACAGAAGACAATGGAAGCCCCCCTGGAGAGGTCATTAGGGCATCCTTTCCTCTGGGCTAGGAAGCCTTATTGTCAAGGTTAATGTCCCAGTGACCCAAAACTCCCACTCCCCAGCCTAGAGAATCAGCACTTTGCCTAGAGTCTGCAGAGCTTTTCTGTTCTAGTCTCATATTCTTCCTGAAATGTCTCCCATTGATTAGTTGAACGTGTAGAACCAATGTCCACTGGACTCTGGGACCAATGTCCATCAGATGTGGAGGAGGCTGCCATCATTCCTTCACATGGTTGTCGTGTCTGGCCATGGCAGACAGCAGAGAGCCTGTGTGAGGAACCTGCCTATCTGAATTCTGGGAGAACATTTCTCCAGCAGTCAGTCACTCACTGGGGCTCTGGGGAAGGGATGGCACTGCCTACTGAGCAGTAAGGAGTCCCCGAGGTGAGGTAAGGCCCTGTCTGTCTGAAAAGGCGTGGCCTGCAGAGAGTAGTATCGGGACTCCTTTGGTTTGCCTCCAAGCCCAGGAGGGTGGCTTCCTGGATGGGCACAATTCCCTAGGGGTCAGGACCCTTGAGAACAAATCTGTCGTGAGGCGGGAAAATGTCACCCAGTGTCACCTCCATCTCCCCATGTGCCTTTCCTTAGGTACTGG